TTTCTAGGGAAAACTAGCTTTATTTGATAATGTTTGGCATCGTTGTCAAATTTGGCGTCGTTGCTGGTTTCACAAGTTATAGTTCACGAATTTTATCTTGCTCACTAACTCTTTGTTCAATTACTTGTAATTTTCTTTTTGTGGGTTCAAGTGGTGTAATTCGGTCTCCAATTGTTGTATTTTATTTTTGTTTTAGTTGCTATTTCTGAATTCTATTTAGTTTTTGTTTTTAGTTTCTATTTTCTATTACTGTTGTTATTTCTGTATTGTATTTTTTTATTGCTATTTTTGTTGTTGTATATCTGTCTTGTTGTTTTTGCTGTTGTTGTTGTTTTTGTGTTTGTATCTATTTTTTTTTGTAATTTTATTGCTATTTTTCTGCTTTGTTGCATATTTGTTTCAATATGTATTTGTTGTTTTGCTATTTTTGTTTTTTTAGGATTTTCATAGAGCACGATTGCGTTCTTCGTTCTTTAATTTGAATTAAATATTAAATGTTGGAATTCGGATTATATTTTTTTATATTGTAATAATCAAAACTTTAATCGATGTTTTATTCAATTGGATTTTAAAATTCATGATTTTGTAGAATTAAATTTTAGTTTATAATTACTACACATAAAGCATGTGATTGAGAATCACGAGCGTGATTCTCACAGCTCTTTTTTTTTTGTTCGTTCCTGGAGTATCCACCGTCGATAGCAGTGACTAATCTCCTCGCTACGTTGGAGGCACCTCAATGGGTGGGATAGCTGGCCCCAAGATTTAACGCGGCTGCATACACAAGGCAGGATTCGAACCCCTAACCTTGCTTAAGCGTGGATCAACCCCTACCGCTGAACCACACGCTTGGGGTTATTCTCACAACTCTTTAACGACGTTTAAGAAATTTAGACGGAAGACAAATGTTGTTAATATTTTTTACGGGTGAGATTAAATTGAACCTAGAAATTAAAGTGAGACTAAATTGAAACTTTAAAATATTATAAAGGATCAAATAAAGATTTTAACCTAAATAAATAAATATATATATATATATATTGATATAAGTTTATTTAATATATATTTATATATAATTTTAATATTAATTTTAAATAAAATTTAATATATTTTATAAAATAAAATAATTAAAAAGTCTTGTATTGAAATATAAATTATTTAGGTATAAATATACTTACCGTCACTACAAAATGAACAAATTTTAGTCTTTGTAAATTTTTTCTTATTTTTCATCCTCTAAAATTTAAAATTATTATTTTTGATTCTTCATATTATATAATTATTTTTAATTATTATTTTTTGTATGTGATATTTTAATTTTTTTAATAAATTTTTAAAATAAATTCTATTAATCTATCTTAAAATTATTGATAAGGATAAAAATAGTGATTTTAAATTTTAGACAATAATGTTTCATAAAGAGAAGAGGATATATATATATATATATATATATTTCAAGTACGTTTACGTTAATCTATTAGACCAACGATATTTTTTTTTTGGTTGATTCGTGATTAGGATACTTAAAACAGTGTGAAACATTATTTCTCAAACTGTGTTATCCTTATATATATTAGTCCGAATGCAACATTGGATAGAGAAAACGGTAGACTAATCACTGTACTATTAATTGACCGGTGCCTTGTCAATTATCAAATTAGCAACTTGTAGAGGCAATGTCGTCATCTGTGTCCTTCTATTTCCTTAAATAAACCAAGCAATAGTGACTGGCAATGTAGATGTAGCAATAACTAGTCATAACTCTTTTTTTTTTCTTTGTAGCCCCTTTTTCTTTCATGAAAGCAAATTATCAAACTAAAATTTACAGATCTCAAAGTAGATCAATCACTTAAAGTGGAATCCAACGGATTGATGCATAAAAAAATGGGACAGAGTGTGTTAACCCATAAAAAAAATAAATTCAATTTACTTCACTTAACAATGAGTTGATAGAATAGTTTTAATGAATTGACGAGTTGACCTAAAATAAGTTAATAAGTTAAAAATAATCAATTGATAAATTAATTTATCTTTAATTTGTTTAGTATTTTTTAAAAAAATTAATTAAAATATTTTAATATGTATTATCAGTTTAATTTATATTTTATTATTATTTATAAAATTAATTAAAGATGTTATATTTTTCATGAAAAAAGACAAAATGATATATATCTCTATTAAAAAAATATTATACATAAAAATACAATAGTAAAAGACGTGATTAAAATAATATATTTTTATTTAATATAAAATAATAATTATTATTTAGAAAAAAATAAACATTAATCACTAAAATTTTATCTTTTAAAAATATTAAAAAATAAATAAATTATAAGGTTGATATGTCATATTAACAGATTTAGCGAGATAGGTCGGATGAATCGATAGATTTATTTGTTCAATTCAACTATTAAAATTAGGCAAATTAATAAATTCACCCAACAAATTCAAGTTACATTATCATCTTTATTAAAATATCTAAGTATTACAATTTTCAGGATAAAATCAGAAAATGTAGCTGTCAAATTTCGAATCATGCCTGCATTTAATTTGATGCGTGTACTTCGGAATATATACAGTGAACGAGGCTACTGATAACATGTGAAAATATTCTTACTGTAAACCGTTTTTAATACAACATCATTGGAAGCATGTAATATAGCGAGTTAATTTGCTAAAAAAATATTTTTTTTAGTGTACATAAATTTTAAACTAATTTATTTTTATAATTAGTGTACCGTATCAGTTGATCGCCGACAACCCCTCTCGGCCCAATACTGGGGCGACGCAAAGAAGAGAGCCGCTCTAGCCTTTTCGCCTCATTGGCTCAAGGTTGGAAGGCAAGTGTACCGTCTCGGTTGATCGCCGACAACCCTTCTCGGCCCAATACTGGGGCGACGTAAAGAAGAGAGCCGCTCTAGCCTTTTCACCTCATTGGCTCAAGGTTGGAAGACAAGTGTACCGTCTCAGTCATGGACCGACTTGATCTCCTTAATGGTGATAGAGTGTTAACGTCCCTACACTCGGCAATTACCCGACTAGGCCTCCAGGCCCTAAACCTTCTCGCCTTAGGGACACTCGGAAATAAGGCGACTGCGATATCCTTTTTGGCATCAACCCGGAGGAGGGCTCACTACGAGCCTATTCGGTCATGGTGTGACACCCTTACTACCCCAAAACATATATCGAAATAATGCCTATGCTCTTTATGAGTATTGAGTACTCTTCATCTCCTACTACTTGATCTTTCTATTTGTATATATCTTAGTATAGGATTGCTTATATTGTTTAGATCTATGTATAGGTTATTTTAGACTTGTATTTTGGTTTAGATATAGTATAGGGTGCCCTTAGTTTGTAGGACATGTCCTTATTTTAAGGACATAGTTCTTTATGATCTTTCCTTTGTTTTTTCTTAGGCCTTGCATTTTGGCCAAATATAATAGAAAGTTTAGTCATTGTATTATTTTCATTTGAGGGTGTAATTAGTATTTTAGGAGAGATGTAACTAGTAAAAGTTCATTTTGTGTCTTGTTGGCCTTCCTTGGCCCATATTTACATGAAAGGATGGTGTGGTTTGGTTTAGAGCTATCTTTGGCCGTCCAAAACACCTTATCCTCCCTTGTAAATCTCGTCCAAGGTGTGCTAGAAAGCAAACCACATCACATGAACCTTTCCTAGTCATATTTTGGACATTTGTGCCACATAGCCTCTCCTAGTGGCTCTTCTAGATCAAATGTCTCCACCTTGTCTCCTTACCATCATGGGTTATCCACATGGCCTTTTCTAAATGGAGAATTTGAATCTAGATGTTGGCACTTGGAGGGACCAATTTGGGTGATTTGTTCACCATAGTTAGGTTAAGGTTAAGTAGCTTGAGTTCAAGCTAACCTAACCTAACTTATTTCTAACCTAGGTTAGCTTAGCTTGCACCACAAGCTTCTAAACCTCTATATATTTGAATCTCTTTGTATTTTTGCACACTTTTGGCTTATGAGATTAGATTACAAACTCATATTCTCTCTACAAAATTCTTAGTTCTCTAGAAGGAGAAACTTCTCCTTAAGTTCTTTCGTCAAAGATTCCTCCTTGTGGCAAGAACTCTCACTTCCTCATCTTCAAGATTTGAAATAGCACATCCATCTTGTTCTTATGTCCATCTTCTTTGTTCTGAATTGGAGTCTTGAATCCATGGAAAATATTAGGAGCTTCAATTGATCCTAGAGGAGGAGAAACAACAAGCATCTCCACCATTAGTTTCCATCAACTAGGATCCAAAATTATCATGCAATTAGGAAGGGGAATTTTATGAACAACAAAGAGAAATTAGAATGTGACGAATGCAAACAGAGAATTCAATTGAAAATGTATCGATTCAATATTTTAATTCTTATGGTAAAATTTTCACAGTTTAAATTATAATCCAAATTCAATCAACCTAAATCAATATAAACATAATCAAAATGTAGATCTAAATCTAGATCTATTGAATTTCATAAAAACATGAAATGCAATTGCGATCTCACAATTTTCTTAAAATTCAAGAATGGTAAAGGTAGATTTAGGCAATTTAGATTATTTTAGGTCTAGATCTAAAACTAAATCTAGATCCAAAATTAATGTTCAAATTTAATCCGGATCTATTAAAATGAAATTCATAATAATGAAGAATGAAAAATAGATCTAAAACAAAAAGAAAAAGATGAAGAGAAATCATGCGAGAAAAATAGATCAAGAACACAAATTTTAACGTAATTTATGAAACCTCAAATCAAATGAAGAAATTAGTCACACATCTTCATCAAGACGATGCAATTCCTTCATGTAAAAAAATGTAAAGAGATATGAGTATTGAGTACTCTTCATCTCCTACTACTTGATCTTTCTATTTGTATATATCTTAGTATAGGATTGCTTATATTGTTTAGATCTATGTATAGGTTATTTTAGACTTGTATTTTGGTTTAGATATAGTATAGGGTGCCCTTCCACACTTTACTATGGCGAAAGGCGGCAACAACAACTCACAACCTCCTACCATGGAGGAGATGATGGCCATGATCAATGGCTTGAAGGAGGACAACGCACGGTCCAGGGAGAGAGAGGAGGCCATCCAGCGCGAGAATGAAGAGATCAAGAGGAGAGCGAACGAGCTGCAAGCCAGAATGGTTGCTAGTACCAGGACTGTGGAGGAGGACGTCATGCTGGAGGTCCCTAGGGACTTTAGACCATTCTCGGAAGCCATAGAGGCTGAGATGATCCCTAGGGATCATCGGATACGACAGATCGAACCTTTTGATGGAACGCAGGACCCCAGTCAGCATTTGACGGACTTCCGGGCTCAAATGTTGATCTGTGGAGGGAGCATGGAAGTCCGCTGTAAGTTGTTCATGGGCACGCTCAAGAAGGCGGCGCTCGACTGGTTTAGCGGTCTTCCTGATCGATCGATCACCGACTTCGATGTCTTTAGCCGGCTCTTCATGGCGCAGTTCGCCGCCAACAAAAAGAAGCCACCGATCACGTCGGATTTGTTCGACCTCAAGAAGCAACGCGAAGAGTCTTTGAAAGATTTCCTACAAAGGTTCAACGAGGTCGCCTTGAGGATAGCGTCATTGGACGAGAGGATGGCGGTCATCGCATTCCAGAAAGGTTTGAGGTCCGGAGCCTTCGACATTGCGCTCGAAAGGGCGAACTGTCAAACGATGTCGGAGGTTCGGGCTTTCGCCTTGAGCCACATCAAGACGGAGGAGAACCAGATTATTAATAGAGCAGCTGAGAACCGAGAAGCAGGGGGCAGCAATAAGGAAGTCAACAAGCATCTCCGACCACGATCGGATTGGAGTAAGCGACAGGACCGCTATAACACGAACGAGGGTAACTATCGGCAGGCCGATCATGTCGGTCGGCCAAGGACCGAATGGACGCACAACAGGGAAGAAGAGAGGTTTACCCCACTCAACGTTCCCAGGCGGCACATATTGCATGACGTAAATAGCGCGTCACTTTTCGAGTTCCCTGCAGCGACTGACCGACAGTTGGGACCGTACAAAATCGATTGGTGCGAATTCCATCGGGCTCACGGGCATACTACCGAGAATTGCTTCGTCCTCGAAAGACAGATAGAGCGCCTCATTAAGGAGGGACGTTTAAAAAAATTCATTGCAGGGAAGCAGGAGGAGGGCCCGTCCGACAGGCGACGCATGCGTGAAGGAGAAAACACGAGAAGAGAGTGGCGAGAGGGGAGGTCTCCCCCGAGAGATCCTCCAGAAAAAAGTACAGAGACTCACCAACAAGCTGTCCATGGAGACTTCAACACTATAGCGGGAGGATTCGCTGGAGGGGGCCCGACATCAGCAGCACGGAAGAGGTACTCTCGGTCTGTTTTATCCGTCTCGGACCGGGTGAAACCATCTCGGCCTCCTATCACATTTTCCGGACGCCGACTTCGAAGGTGTGTCCCCACATGAGGATGACCCGATTGTCGTCTCGGCGATAGTCATGGGTTATAATGTGAAACGCGTACTGGTGGACCAGGGCAGCTCGGCAGACATAATGTTCTGGGAAGCTTTCGTCGGGATGAAAATTCCGACTGACCGTCTAATGCCATATGCAGGTACTTTAGTTGGTTTTGCAGGTGATCAGGTAATTGCTAGGGGATACGCCGACTTGGAGACAACTTTCGACCAGGGAGACTACATGAAGACTATCACTGTCCGATACCTGGTGGTCAATGCTCAGTCGTCCTACAGCATACTAGTCGGACGACCGACATTGAATAAGTTGGGAGCAGTTGTCTCCACACCCCACTTGAAGCTGAAGTACCCTTTACCCAGCGGGAAGGTTGGGGTCCTCTGTGTTGATCAAGAAGTCGCAAGGAAGTGCTACGAGGACAGTTTGAGGGCGAGGAGACAGTTATATGTGACACAGGTTGATCGGGGGATCCAATCAATCGAGTTGGATCTGAGGATGACCCACTTCGATTCCCGACCAGCTCCAGCAGAAGACGTGAAGGAAGTTAGCTTGGCCGAGGGAAAAATGGTCAAGATTGGTGTGTCTTTAACTAAGGAAGATGAGGAAGGGTTGCTGACCGTATTGAAGAGCAACGTGTCGGCTTTCGCATGGAGTGCTGGCGACATGCCAAGCATTGATCCCGATTTTCTATGTCACCGTCTAATGGTCGACCCCAATGCGAAACCGGTGATCCAGAAATGACGAAAGTTTGGAGAGGATAAGAAGAGGGTCATAGCCGAGGAGACAAAGAAATTGTTGACAGCTGGTCACATTCGAGAAATCCAATACCCGACATGGCTGGCGAATGTGGTATGGTACGAAAGAGTAACAAAAATTGGAGGATGTGCACGGACTTCACCGATTTAAACAAAGCTTGTCCAAAAGATTCATACCCGCTCCCCAACATAGATTGTCTAGTCGACAACGCATCGGGGTATGAATTGTTGAGTTTCATGGACGCGTACTCGGGGTACAATCAGATCAGGATGTACCCAGCTGATGAAGATAAAATAGCGTTCATGGCCGATCAGGCCAGCTACTGTTACAAGGTGATGCCTTTCGGATTGAAGAACGCCGGGGCGACGTACCAGAGGCTTATGGACAAGGTGCTGGCCGATTAACTCGGAAGGAATGTGGAGGCATACGTAGACGACATGGTGGTCAAGTCGCCCAGCGTGGGTCAGCATTTTTCTGACCTTCAAGAGTCGTTCGACACCCTAGCACACTACCAACTCAAACTGAACCCCGCGAAGTGCTCTTTCGGCGTCCAAGCGGGAAAATTCCTCGGTTTCCTACTGACACATCGTGGCATCGAAGCAAATCCCGATAAGTGCTCTGCTATAATCAGTATGAGAAGCCCAGCTACAGTAAAGGAGGTAAAGCAGTTGACAGGGAGGATGGCCTCCCTTTCTCGGTTCCTTTCGAAGGCAGCAGACAAGTCGCTCCCCTTGTTCCAATGTTTGAGGAAGAATGACAAATTTTCGTGGACACATGAATGTGAGAGAGCATTCGGCGAACTCAAGCAGGCTCTCACTTCACCGCCAATACTCTCCAAACCGCAGGCCGATCTCCCCTTACTGATGTATCTGTCGGCATCCGATAGCGCCATCAGCACAGTCTTAGTACAGGAAAGAGGTAACTCACAATTGCACGTTTATTTTGTTAGCAGGGTCTTACAAGGAGCAGAGGTCCGTTATCAGAAGATAGAAAAGTTAGCCTTGGCGATACTGGTCACGACACGCAAGCTGAGACATTATTTCCAGAGTTATGAGGTCGTAGTCCGGACAGACCATTCGATCAGGCAAGTGCTGCAGAAGCCCGACTTGGCAGGAAGGATGATGAAGTGGTCTGTGGAACTATCAGAGTATTCCATCAAGTACGAGCCGAGAGGAGCAATCAAAGCTCAAACGCTAGCCGACTTCGTGACGGAACTAACCTCACCAGCCGATGAAGGTAGTACTGAAGAGACACAGTGGATCTTATCAGTAGACGGAGCTTCAAACCTTGGGGGAAGTGGAGCAGGGATCGTCCTGGAAGGACCAGGAGGTATTTTATTGGAATAGTCATTGCGATTTGAATTCCGTGCAAGCAATAACCAAGCCGAGTACGAAGCGTTGTTGGCCGGTATGACGTTGGCAAAGGAAATGGGAGCAACGAGTCTATCGGCAAGAAGCGACTCCCAACTGATCACAGGGCAGGTAGCCGGCACCTTCCAGGCGAAGGATCCTCAACTAGCTAAGTATCTGGAAAAGGTTAGGCTTTTGTCAGAAAATTTTCGAGAGTTCACACTTAGTCATGTACCACGAGATCAGAATTCGAGGGTCGACTTGCTCTCCAAACTTGCAAGCACGAAGAAACCAGGAGCTACTCGGTCAATCATTCAAGAGACGCTAGCACAACCGAGTATAAACGAGGCGCAAGGGAACGTCCTGTTCATCCAGGAAGAGCTTAATTCGTGGATGGGACCGTACATCGCATATCTAACTCGGGGGGAGTTACTGGAAGACAAGAGGGAGGCGTCGTTGGTGCAAAGGGAGTCGGCCAGGTTCGTAGTCATCAACGAAAGACTGTACCGAAGGGGCTTCAGCTCTCCCCTCTTAAGATGTTTGACCATGCCGCAAGCAAAGAGAGTAATGGGTGAGGTACACAGTGGAATGTGCGGAAGCCATATCGGAGGCCGAGCTCTGGTATACAAAGTTGCCCGAGCCGGATATTTTTGGCCATTTTTGAGGAATGACTGTGTCAATTGGGTCCAAAAGTGTGACGGATGCCAAAGACATGCAACTTTACATCATTCCCCGGCCGAACGACTACATTCAATCCTATCTCCCTAGCCTTTCCATAAGTGGGGGATTGATATTCTCGGTCCATTCCCGACTGCGATAAGGCAACTGAAATTCTTAATAGTGGCGGTAAACTACTTCAGTAAATGGATCGAGGCGGAGCCAGTTGCAACCATCTCAGCGGAGAAGGTAAGAACTTTTCTTTGGAAGAATGTGGTGTGCAGGTATGGAGTCCCTCAAATGCTCGTTTTCGATAATGGGACACAATTTGCAAGTACGAGAGTTCGTGATTTTTGCAAAGAGGTCGGCATCCGAATGGCATTCACTTCTGTTGAACACCCACAGTCTAACGGCCAGGCGGAGTCGGCCAACAAGGTAATCCTTTCAGGTTTGAAGAAGCGTGTGCAAGAGTCAGGCGCTTCATGGGTGGAGGGGCTTCCCCGAGCGTTATGGTCGTACCACACGACTGTTCATTCAACGACCCGAGACACTCCTTTCAATCTGGTGTACGAAACCGATGCCATGATCCCGATCGAAATTGCAGAGCCTTTATTGCGCGCTACGGCTTTTTCTGAAGAGGAATCCGACCAGGGAAGGCGAGTTGATTTAGACTTGATCGAAGAGACAAGAGAAAAAGCAAGAATAAATCAAGTAGCTGCCCAGAGGAGAGCCGCCTTCAAATACAACACAAAGGTGAATCCAAGAGACTTTATCGTAGGCGACCTAGTTTTGAGGCGTGCTCAGCTAACACAGATGAAGAACAAGCTGTCTCCTAAATGGGTTCGCCCCTATAAAATTGATTACGTGGTCGGCAAAGGGGCTTACCGACTGAGGACCTTGGATGGAGGTTTGATACCGAGAACGTGGAATGCTGCAAATTTGCACTTTTACTATAGCTAGTTTCTCTATATATTTGTATTAGGTGCACTCTTTTCCTAACTCAGTATTTTGTCCCCGTAAAAATATGAGGGGTTTTTGCTTAGAAGGTTTTTAATGAGGCACCGACCTTTTCAATTCTAATAAATGCCATCTCTCTGTTTCTTTCATTGTCTCCTAACACGTTATTTTAAAGGCACAAAAACTCGTGATTGTCGGCAAAAGTCCGACTGGGCGAGTATAAATAACTCGAAGACAAACTCGTGATTGTCGGCAAAAGTCTGACTGGGCGAGTATAAATAACTCGAAGACAAACTCGTGATTGTCGGCAAAAGTCTGACTGGGCGAGTATAAATAACTCGAAGACAAACTCGTGATTGTCGGCAAAAGTCTGACTGGGCGAGTATAAATAACTCGAAGACAAACTCGTGATTGTCGGCAAAAGTCTGACTGGGCGAGTATAAATAACTCGAAGACAAACTCGTGATTGTCGGCAAAAGTCTGACTGGGCGAGTATAAATAACTCGAAGACAAACTCGTGATTGTCTTGTCGCAATCAGAATTTTACCAAGCAGGTCGCATCGGATTCCTTTCAAAAAAAAAAAAATGCAGTGGCAAGGGTCCATCGGAAAAATCTGTCGTCGAGTCAAGAAAATTAGGAAAAATTCCCCATTATTTCATTCGGTATTTGGACGGCTTCTCGCGCTGAGGATCAACTTTTACATAAATTCCACTACTCTCTTCGACTCGGTATTTGGACGACTTCTTGCATTAAGGTTCAACTTTTAATTTAGATAAAGTTTATTATTTTCTTCCAGTCAGTATTTGGACGACCATTGGCACGGATAAATTCCACTACATGCCCTGCTATTCATTTTAACTTAGAAAAAATTCTGCAATTTTTGCTAGTCGGATTTTGGGCGACTACATGCCCTGCTATTCATTTTAACTTAGAAAAAATTCTGCAATTTTTGCTAGTCGGATTTTGGGCGACTACATGCCCTGCTATTCATTTTAACTTAGAAAAAATTCTGCAATTTTTGCTAGTCGGATTTTGGGCGACTACATGCCCTGCTATTCATTTTAACTTAGAAAAAATTCTGCAATTTTTGCTAGTCGGATTTTGGGCGACTACATGCCCTGCTATTCATTTTAACTTAGAAAAAATTCTGCAATTTTTGCTAGTCGGATTTTGGGCGACTACATGCCCTGCTATTCATTTTAACTTAGAAAAAATTCTGCAATTTTTGCTAGTCGGATTTTGGGCGACTACATGCCCTGCTATTCATTTTAACTTAGAAAAAATTCTGCAATTTTTGCTAGTCGGATTTTGGGCGACTACATGCCCTGCTATTCATTTTAACTTAGAAAAAATTCTGCAATTTTTGCTAGTCGGATTTTGGGCGACTACATGCCCTGCTATTCATTTTAACTTAGAAAAAATTCTGCAATTTTTGCTAGTCGGATTTTGGGCGACTACATGCCCTGCTATTCATTTTAACTTAGAAAAAATTCTGCAATTTTTGCTAGTCGGATTTTGGGCGACTACATGCCCTGCTATTCATTTTAACTTAGAAAAAATTCTGCAATTTTTGCTAGTCGGATTTTGGGCGACTACATGCCCTGCTATTCATTTTAACTTAGAAAAAATTCTGCAATTTTTGCTAGTCGGATTTTGGGCGACTACATGCCCTGCTATTCATTTTAACTTAGAAAAAATTCTTCAATTTCTTTAGTCGAAATTTGGGCGACTAGGTGCCTCAGTATTCATTTTAACTTAGAAAAAAAATTCGGCAATTTCTTTAGTCAGAATTTGGGCGACTAGGTGCCTCAGTATTCATTTTTAACTTAGAAAATTTTTTGCAATTGGCCGGCAAAGGATCAATATTTTCGCACGCACCAAGTCACTCAATTCATATCTCAACTCATATCAAAGGAAACACACAGATTTTATAAAAGCAAAGGGTCACAATGGCCCATACAAGCCATCAACAAAAAACATGAAAATGTAAAGGTAAGAACAATATTATGAGGCAACACTCAGTCATCCTCGGGAGGATCCACCAAATTTCTTCCTCAAAATTTTCAAATCAATGATTCAAGAATAAAAATATTTTACAAATCAGATTTAAACTCTAATAATATATATACAAGAAAGAATCAAAAAAGACAAAGAATAAGGAAGCCAAATCTTCCTATGTATCAACAAATACGTTTTTCATATTGTAGCCAGTATGACTTTTTTTTTCTTTGTCTTTTACAGTTTCTATGTTGTGATGCTTTGTTAGAGAGTTTATTGTCTTGTTGAAGGAAAAAATGTGAACCAGATGTTACGTTTCTTGTTGATGAATATTTTGTTAATAATTTCTTTTTCACTGCCAGGAACTTCCTTACACTGTCTTCCAAAAGCAAGCCCTGGAACTGTGTGCTAGGGTGAGTCCATTTATCATTGCTCACATAAGTTTAATTTTGAAAAATAATGCTAGGCTATGCTACTTTTTTTTCATTCTCAGGTAAGATGCATTAAGTTCCATTTTGCTGTTTTATGTTTTAAAAAAATAGACTAATGACAGTAGGAGCATAAGAAAGTGCTATTTTGCAGTCCATCTTGAAATAATATACATGTAAAGCCTAATTGGCATTCCACCTTGCAGAAAGTTGCTGCAGCTTCTGGAGACATGCGGAATGCTCTATGTATATGCAGGTCTGTCATTTATTATTATTATTATTATTATTACTTGCACTTTATGCTCATGATAAATTAGTGCATTCAAGCTTATTCGTCTTACGTGTTCATTTTATCTTATTTCATTCTATTGATAGAAAGGGTTTAAATGAAACTTTACTACAACTACAGAACCCTTGTTTTTGTTTAATGTAAAATTTAAGATACAATATTTAAAGTTTTAAACTTCAATCCGGAACCTATTAAGCCTCTTGCAGGGGGTTAGAACCTAGTGAGTTAGTCAAAATAATAACTATCCAATACAGTTAAATGTATTTGGTGAGAGGAAATGAATTAGGAAAATATAAGTTAGTTAAGGGGTGTGATTGGATCAAGTTTTTGATTAGAGGAGAGTTCCCATGTATCGTGAATACTGGGTTACACTTTCATTACATTCTTCAACGCTATCACTGTTCTTGAATATTTTTGATACTTAGCTAGGGATTGAGAAAGTGCCAGTAGTAAGCTTCCTATTTCATTTCCCTAAATTGTATCATTCGTATTAGATTGTTGTCACAATTTGCTTTGTCAATTTAGCCAGCGCAAAATCCAGCAAAAGAACAAGTTTAACAGTTTATTTCCCTTGCAGGAGTGCAATAGAGATGCTTGAAGCAGAAATTAGAGAATCTGCGTGCAATTTGAATACTTCATTGGAAGAGAAATCTCTTAATCTTGCTACATCTCCTGATTTTATCAAGAAACGAGAATTTGATGTTGTAAGTGTTCAAAAATCTGTTGCCCTGAAGATGATTATAATTTTTTGTGCGCACCTGCAGATAATTATAAAGTATTGCCCTGAAGTAAAATTGTGGACAATTTAAGGAAGGAAAAAAATGTAATGAGAACTAATCTGCATTTATCACGCATCTCTTGATTCATTAGTAGGTTTGGATACATTTCCAGTTGTGTTCTAATTTTTAAGTTCAGATGGTTGTTCTCGGGTGTTGTCATGAAAATAGACTTTGTCTTTTACAGTTTCTATCTTAGTGTAAGCAATTTGGCTTTTGTGCCATGCGCGTAGAGTGGTTTTGGAACTGCAAGCTAAGCTAGCGGTCACTTTTTGGCAGCATGCTTTGGTCTTCCATACGAGCCAAATCTTCCTATGTATCAACAAATACGTTTTTCATATTGTAGCCAGTATGACTTTTTTTTTCTTTGTCTTTTACAGTTTCTATCTTAGTGTAAGCAATTTGGCTTTTGTGCCATGCGCGTAGAGTGGTTTTGGAACTGCAAGCTAAGCTAGCGGTCACTTTTTGGCAGCATGCTTTGGTCTTCCATAAGTTTCTTCGTAACTCAGGGTGAAGGAGAAAGAGCCACCACCGGACAGGAAAACGCGCGAAGAAGGAGAGGCAAATGACTTGAAAAAATGGGTAGCCCCCTTTTATTTATAAACATGAAAGGCCGCGCGTGGAGGGTGCACCTAAAGGCCACAACGCGCGTAGGACGTCGTGACCCCAAACCAAAATGGGCCCCACGATTAAAACCCTAGCGATAGAAGCCGCCACGCGGCACTACCATTACTCACATCCCTGCAACGCCGCCTTCGCAATAAATACATGTCCCCTCATGCGTAAGCGGAGGGGACACGTCCTATCAACTTCCAAGAAGTCATAACGCTTATGATTCGTCTCGATGAAATCCCGACTCTTATTCTCGGCCAAATGCCGAGAAGACCTAAAAGAAGAGAGCCGCTCTAGCCTTTTTGCCCCACAGGCTCAAGGTTGGAAGGCAAGTGTACCGTATCGGTTGATCGCTGACAACCCCTCTCGGCTCAATACTGGGGCGACGCAAAGAAGAGAGTCGCTCTAGCCTTTTCGCCTCATTGGCTCAAGGCTGGAAGGCAAGTGTACCGTCTCGGTTGATCGCCGACAACCCCTCTCGGCCCAATACTGGGGCGACGTAAAGAAGAGAGCCGCTCTAGCCTTTTCGCCTCATTGGCTCAAGGCTGGAAGGCAAGTGTACCGTCTCGGTCATGGACCGACTTGATCTCCTTAATGGTGATAGAGTGTTAACGTCCCTACACTCGGCAATTACCCGACTAGGCCTCCAGGCCCTAAACCTTCTCGCCTTAGGGACACTCGGAAATAAGGCGACCGCGATCTCCTTTTTGGCATCAACCCGGAGGAGGGCTCAGTACGAGCCTATTCGGTCATGGCCCGACTTGACCTGGCAAGCTCGATTCTTCTCGCCTACAAGGGGACCGCTCGGCATGTACCTCGCTGGACTTTCGGTATAGGCCCTGTCGGTCGGATCCCGACTGAGTTCGTTCTCGCTAATCCCGCATCGACGTGATAAGAACGGTTAGGAAAATCCCTTGATCCTTGGGGTCCAAAAGGCCCACGAACAACTCACCATAAAACCCAAAACCCTAGAGTTGAGAAGACAGATTACACTTTTGAATGTTCTGGCTCTAAGGCACGATCTAGGAAAAAACCCTAGTCCACCCTTTGGCCGGAACAATTAGTTATAAACTATATTATTAATAAAAAGGATATATCATATTTTAATAAATAAATTTTGAATTAATTTACTCAACTATCTGTAAATCACATTTTATTTTATTAACTATTTTTATTTATTTATTTTCTCTTTTTTCTACTTCAATGATATTTAATTTCTAAATTTTTTTTTTCTTTAAATAATCATTCATTATTTTATTTTTAAAGGATACATGAAGTACATCTTTTTCTCCTAATTTTTACTTTATAATAAAGGTTATAGCCTTTCTTCACATGCAGGTTTTCTTTTTAATTTCACCATTCTAGTTATTCTTTAACTTATTTTACAAACTACTTTCATTTTTCGAATAAATATCCGTATTCTTCAAATAACTACTCATTATATAATATGTACTTTTTATATTTTAATTTTAATTTTTCTTTTTATAACGAGAGGTATAGAGTACCTCTTTTCTCTACTACTTTTATATAAATGAAGTTATGTATCAGGATTAATTTGTATTTGTTTATTGCTTATATAATGTGACAATTTGTCATATATCATCGATGACTTGTTTTAATGGTTTACGTTTTGAAGGAGGGAAAATGGGAAATATGTCGAGATCGAGTGGCGACCAAATGATGAATATATAATGCACACATTAGGCAGAGGTCAATATACAAGAATTCTCCGTACTTTGTATAGGTTTTCTTTCTTGAGTTGGTCGTAACCATGTCCTTTTGTAAAACTAGATTGTAAAAATAATAAAATTAAATTAAAAATAAGTAAAACGACATGTGAAGTTTAATGGTTTTCAAAACTTCTTTCTTTAGATTTTGTTTTTTCATTCTAACATAAATTTTTTTCCAACACTATTTTTTGGTAAAATTTACATTGACAATGTAACATTTTTATTTTTTAAAATAATACTATTATTAAAATATTATTACATTATGGTCATAATTATTATTTATTTTTATCCGTAAAAATTATTTTATTATATTAATTTATTTAATTTAATGGGATAAGGGGAAACGGATTAGGCTAATCCAATTTCATGAAATTTTAGGAGAAGGGGTTAGAAAGTTAACATATCTATCTCATTCTGCATTTTAAAAAACTGAGAAAGAAGGAACTCTAAGGAGAAGTGTTTAGACTTCAGAATTATCTTAAACTGCATCATACAATTCTTATCATCACAATAAGGTATGAGAAGGGAAATGAGTTGTTCATGTTTGCAATTACAAGAGATAATGGATAGTGGGAGCAATCCCGAAATTCTTAAGGTTTTCTATTTTTGTTCTGATGATGTAATTAGCAATCCAACTAGGTTTTATATAGAATTGAGAATGTGTTTATTGTATCATTTGGTAAAATTGATGATCTGATAAGTAATTGAATTCATTGGAATGTCTCTATGGGTTAGGGTTCTTGAGCAATTGGGATATTGTTAATCGATATGTGAATTCATGAATTGATGTTGTATGATGTGTTTCAGTGTAAAAATAAGTGTTTTTGACCGATTGAATTAGTAAAAATATAATTACATGATTGTTTATAAATTTTGGTAACGCCCTATTCGTGTTGCATTTTTGGAAAATGCATTTGGTGCGGGCTTTAGTCCTTGGCGACAAACTTGCATTCATACGAAAGAATGTGAAGTCCAAATGAGGTTACGCCGAGCGTGAGATATATATCATGGCATGACACGTTTGGTGAGTCTCTACCTTCCCTTAACGCTAGACGTGAGAGCAACAGGGTGTTCTCTATTGTTCATTAGTGTCGGGCGTGGGTGTATTAAGTCGAGCGTGAAAATGTTGTGTGCTCTTTGTTGTGGCTTAGAGCCGGGCTTGGCTTGGTGAGCTCGCTGTAGACTATGAATATGTTATATTTTGATGATGGTTATAAATAGTATAATGTCCAGTAGTGACTATTGTACGTATGATTAAGTATGAATGATGTGTATTTAGATATGTTGATGTACAAATGTGAGTGGATATGGCTTTATATTTAATTTTGCATTGGCATGGATGGAGATGATAAATGGATGAGGTGACATGACATGAGCATTTGCGCATGTTGCATACACATTTTCTTGGTCATAATTGGTGATTAATAGGGTAATTTTTATACAATGACCATAAGTGGTGATTAATAGTGTGACATTGATCATAAGTGATGTAAACGGTGTGGTCATGCGTGGCGATGCCTTGAGGAGATTGATGAAGTTCACCCATTGTGCGATGTTTTGAGTTAATGCTTCTTAGGAGATTGCATTGCATATACATTGACGTGAGCATAATCATGATGCATGAGTTGTACGATGATATGATTGTGGTGTTATTAATTGATGTACATGTATGTGTGAGATAATAATATTATTGTGATTGATTATTACTGTGAATTGTATGAGAGTTGATTATATGTTTAGGTGTGATTCTTTTCTTGTGTCTTACATATGAATAACCGTTTTTCTCACCCATATACATTGTGGTTTTGCTTTAGGTAATTAGATAAGTGATGAGGTCAATACTCAAGGACTCAAGGTACCGAGAGTTGAAGCGATAGGTTTGCTATGATAATGTGACATCAAGGCAATAAGATTAGATCAGGATTTTTATCTCTTATTAATTTACCTTTTCTTGCTAAAAACCCTACATCTTGTAATTATTCTTGTTTGATCGCATGATTAGAAGTGAACTGCATGTGAATCTGTTTTACCTGAATTGCTAAATTTCTTCCTTATTTAATTATATTATTTATTGGGATAGAATAAATGTCACAAACAAATCACCAAGTCTTTAGAAAATGGATATATATATATATATATATATATATATATATATATATAGAATCATATAAAAGAGGGTTCAAACGACACTAGTGTAACTTTTATTAAGTATTACACCACTCAATAACTTTATATTAAATGTGAATTTTATAAATCTAACCGTTAGATTGAAAGTTCATATCACTTTATGTGTGTATATCAAATTTTATTAAAATTGAACGGCAACTTAAAGGTAATCAAAGTGTTCATATTTTAGCATATTTTGAAATGAATATATTACATCAATTTTGTTTTATAAGAATGAAGTATCAAATCATCTTAGATTAATATAAAATTTTGTATATATGATCTAAGATATATGAACTTTTAATCTAACGGTTACATTTTCAAAATTCACATTTAATATAAAGATATTGAACGGTGTAATACTTAATAAAAATATTATTCATACACATAAATATATATTTTTTAATTTTAAATGACATATTTAT